TTGGAGGAGGTGGGTGGGGACCTGTAGAAGTGGCTGAGGAGGTTTCACTGAGAAGATGATGTGTGAGTAGAGACCTGAAGGAGATGCAGGATGAGAAAGTTCTAGAGATGCTGTATGAGGTTGGAAGGCTGATGTGAGGTTATAGAGAGCAGTACTGCATTGTGACTCAAAAATCTGTTAAGAGGGCAGATCTCATGTAAACTGGCCACAATTAAAAAATAATAATAACTTAAAAAAACACGACCTGAGGAGGTATGAGAAGCAAGCAAAGTGGATATTACGTGTACTGAGGCTCACGCTGGACACATTGATACAGTGTAACATGAATAGTGTTAATAAAACTCGTCTATAATAAATAATGAAAAATAATAAAATGGTGTTAATAAAACTTAACCACTAAAGGTGCACAATTATCTGCAATTTTAAAAATTAGATGGAATCCCCAAGGTGGTATTTTTTTGTTTTCAATATCTGGGCTGTAGAAAACAGAAGAGACATTCCAAGCAACTTCAGACAAAGACTGTTCTTTCAAAAATGGTAGTGGTGGAGGTTTTAAGGCTCCCTGCTACAATGAAGCTTTATGAAAGTAATTATTCTGATTACACTAGTAGCTTCCTGGGGTCTATAAAAACCTAAGAAAAACATTAGCTCTGTGGCAAGTTACTAAATTAATTTCTGAAAAATATGGTTCACCTGCTTTCCATCAGCCATTTATTTGTGGTTTGCTAGTGGCCTCTGTAACTTCTTTGAACATAGAAAATAAAATGAATATTGAAATGCAGATGCTTTTTTATTCAAAAGAAATGGCGAACTCCAAGGTCTCAGTCTTGTCATAACTGATTTGCAAAGTCTGAATTTAATGAAATAACTCCTAAGAACTAGTCTGGTCTCTCAAAAGTCGATAAGAAAGGCTGTTGGCTGGGCACCAAAATAGGAACATGGTAATAAAGTACATGATCCTGTAGGCTATGATAGCTTTCTATTGGCCAAGGTCTAGAATCCATGTGTTAGAAGTAAGTGAGCATTTTAATGTACAACCTAATACAGCAAAGTGCACAAGAAGTTTACACATATTTTACCCCTTTAATCGCCTTATTATACACCTTATTGTGCAGAGCCTTCCTGCTACACTAAAAAGCTATTTTGTTAACCAAGGGGGTGAAAGTCCTATACACTGAAAACTGTAAGACATTGATGAAAGAAATTAAAGAAGGCACAAATAAATGGAAAGATATTTTGTGCTCATGGATTGGAAGAACTAATACTGTTAAAATGTCCATACTACCCAAAGCAATGTACAGATTCAGTGCAATCCCTATCAAAATTTCAATTAGAATTCCAATTAGAATTTTTCACAGAAATAGAACAAACAATCCTAAAATTTGTATGGAACCACAGAAGACCCCAAATAGCCAAAGCACCTCCACAGCTAGAGGCGTCATGCTCCTTGATGTCAAACTCTATTACAAAGCTGTAATAATCAAAACAGTATGGTGTTGGCGTAGAAACAAACACATGGATTAATGGAGTGGAATGGAGAGCTTAGAAATAAACCCACACATATATAATCAATTAATTTACAACAAAGGAGCCAAAAATACACAATGGGGAAAGGACAGTCTCTTCAATAAATGGTGTTGGGAAAATTAGCCACACGTGAAAGAATGAAACTGGACCACTGGATCTTACACCATACACAGTAACTAAGTTAAAATGAGAGTAAAGACTTGAGTGTAAGACTTGAAACCATAAAACTTCTAGACGAAAACATAGGGGTTAAGCTCCCTGACATCAGTCTTGGTGATGATTTTTTTGATTTGACACCGAAAGGAAAGGCAACAAAAGCAAAAATAAACAAATGGGACTACATCAAGCTAAAAAGCTTCTGCACAGCAAAGGAAACCGTGAATGAAATGAAAAGGCAACATACTGAAAGGCAAATGAATATTGGATAAGGGCTTAATATCCAAAATATATAATATAAAGAACTCATACAACTCAATAGCAAAACAACAAACAATCTGATTTAAAAATGAGCAGAGGATCTGAACAGACATTTTTCAAAAAAAAACATACAGATGGCCAACAGGCACTTGAAAAGATGCTCAACATCACTAGTCATAAGGGAAATAGAAATCACAAACACAGTGAGATGTGTCACCTCATACCTGTTAGAATGGCTATTATCAAAAAGACAAGAGATAACAAGTGAGGATGTGGAGAAATGGAAACACTTGTGCACTGTTAGTGGGAATGTAAATTATTGCAGCCACCATGGAAAACAGTATAGAGATTCCTCAAAAAATTAAAATGAGAGCTACCATGTGATCAGCCATCCCACTTCTGGGTATTTATCTGAAGGAAACGAAAACACTAACTTGAAAAAAATATATGTACCTTCATGTTTATTGCAGCATTTACAATAGCCAAGACATGGAAGCAACCTGAGTGTCCATTGATGGATGAATGGATAACGAAGCTGTAGTATATAGGTACAATGGAGTATTATTCAGCCATAAAAAGAAGGAAATCTTGCCATTTGTGACAACAGGGATGGACCTTGAGGACTAAGTGACTACGCTAAATGAAATAAGTCAGATAGAGAAAGACTAATACTGTATGATCTCACTTATATGTGGGATCTAAAAGAAAAACTAAACTCATAGATAACAGGGAACAGATTGGTGGTTGCCAGAGGCTGGGAAGGGGTGGGCAAAATGGATGGAGGTGTAATGTACAGCATAGTGACTATAGTTAATAATACTATATTGTATATTTGCAAGTTGCTAAGGCAGTAGATCTTAAAAGTTCTCATCACAAGAAAAAAAATTTGTAACTGTATGGTGATGTTAACTAAACCTATCGTGGGGATCATTTCAGAATAGATACAGGTATCGAATCATTATGTTGTATACCTGAAGCTGTTATATGTCAGGTGTATCTCAGTTAAAAAAAGCTACTCTCATGACCTTTCCTAGTCATTATCTACTCCCTTTCACCAAGGGTAACCACTGTTACAGTCATGCATTGCTTAATGACGGGGAGATGTTCTGAGAAATATGTTGTTAGGCGATTTCATCGTTGTGCGAACATCAGAGTGTACTTATGCAAACCTAGATGGTGCACCTACTGCGCACCTAGGCTATGTGGCACTAATCTTATGGGACCACCATTGTATATACGTTCTGTTGACCGAAGCATCAGTTACGTGGTGCGTGATTGTATTACTTCTCTCACCGTATATTAGTGTTGTCTGTTTTTGAACTTTGTATAAAACTATACATTATGTAATCTGTTGTGTCTGACTTCCACTCAACTTTATGTGTATGAGATTCAGTATTTTATTTTTTCATTGCCATATAGTATCCCATTGTATGAATTAATATGCCATAATTTATCCATTCTACCATTAATGAAAATTTGAGTCATTTCGAATATTGAGTTATTACAAATAATGTTGCTCTGAACATTCTTGTAGATGTCTTTTGGTGTACAATATGCCAACATTTGGTGATGTTTTTGCTACCTAGTTCTGTGACACTGAGGCAAATAGTGATTTACAGGATAATTTTAAATCACACAATAAAAATTTAGTTCCTGTATTGTGATTAACTAGTGTAAAGAAGTGTCAGACCACGAGGGAAACCTGTTGATCAAACACGGCTGTGGTTATTAACCTTCCCAAGCAGGGGAGAGGACTGCCCTGACAATTCTGTAGTGTCTCGAAAGAGGGATCAAGGCAGAGTACTTCGAAGGCTTTAGGGGCTAGGCGTAATCAGAGGGTGGTTTTGGGTCAGGTTTCCTCGAATTTTTCTAGTTTCACCATCTGTAACTACAATGCTGTAATACTATAGTCTTCTGATGCTTCTAAATAGTTGTTCTACCGATGCCACCACTAGTTCCAGGAACCTTATATCAGTCGTTCTTTTTAACATTGACACATTTCAGCTTATTTGGAAACAATAACATTGTGAAAAGAAGCCCTGGTTAAATATACTAAAATGATTAAATTGCACACTTTAATGGGTGAATTTTATGGTATGTAAATTGTATTCCCATAAGGCTGATTAGAAAACAAATTAAAAAAAGAAACCTTGGTTAAAAGTTCAGAGACCAAAATTCTAGGCCTGCCTATTCCATAAACGAGCTATTTATTCAGTCAGTAAATATTTGAGAACGTGTAGGCACAGAAAATCAACTAGTAATCTAAACTGACACGGTCCCAATACTCATAATGTGTTGGTAGGAGAGAGAGTGAGCGAGCTTGATTGTGCACGCAGGCCTAGGGAGAGGCATGTTCAGACAGGAGAAGCACCTGCCTTGTAGCCAAGGACTGAAAAGAATGCCCTTGTGCCCAGAGGGCAGAAAGAGGGCAGAGCCTAGTGTAAGATGGAAGGGCAGACTGCAAGGAGGCCATGTAAAAGAGTGGTCGTTTTCTTTTGAGCAATAGAGAGCCATTGAGTTTTAAAGGTAAGGGAGTGGTGGCATCATGTCTGTGTCTTGGAAAGATGGCTTTGGCTATGTTAAAAAATATGAATTAGAGACATACAGGCGTGGACATAGCCACACTCATAAGGAGACCACAGTTTTAGTGAGAGATGGTGGAAGCTTGGGACTAATGAGGGAGAGGGACATATCAAAATAATTCCTAAATTTCTGGAGTCCAGAATTTGAAGAAAAAAGGATATCTTAGTAAACTGAGCTTTATAGAATTGTAGGGTAGGGTGTTCCAAAATTACTCTCTTAATGACTCATTTTTAAACTAGTATAGATTGCAATAAATAGGAATGAAGGATCAGGCATATTGTCATATTAATCTACCAGTTGGCATTATAACCTTCACTTCCACTCTTATTGTTGCCTTTTAAAATGTATCCATTTAATTTGTCATAATGAAATTAGGCTGAAGGGATTTATAACTTCAGTAATTTAAAATGCAATGTGTTGCTTTCCTGTATTTGTTTCAACAACAACTGTGATTTTGTTCTTTTTATCCTCAGTGTTTGATTTTCATCAAGCAGCTGATGGTATCCAGGAACAACAGAGACAAGAACAAGCAGGAAAAAAGTATGATATTGTGTGTGTGTGTGTGTGTGTGTGCGTGCACGCGCATGTGCATACACACAGCTTAAGCATATCCAGAACCTTATGTTTAAATTCTAGGCCAGAGGTTTAAGAAAAATAAATATTAAAATATCCTGTTTAGATTTCAGAGAAAATCAATAGGATTGTGAAAATAAACTTACAGGAAATAGCAAAAACAGAAAACAGTCATAATAACTTCATTCCTTGTGATGATCTCACCACAAGAGCTGCATCTTTCTTGTCTAACTCAAAGCTTGTTTTAATTTGTTTTTAAGTTTGGGTACCACAAAAAAGGGCATTGGCCCAGTTTATTCTTCCAAAGCTGCTCGGAGTGGACTGAGGATGTGCGATCTTGTTTCTGACTTTGATGGCTTCTCTGAGAGGTAACTAACTTGAGTTTCAAAATGGAAAGAGCGAATGGATTTTTAGGATTTTTAAAACCCAGGATACAAATTGGTAAAATCAGTGTTCTAGGTTGAACAGCGGTGGCTCACCTTTTTGTTTTCTTTGGACTATTAAAGCTATTTTTTGTTACGTTCTCATTGGTCCTTAATTTCAGATTAACTTCATGAAAAGTCACATGATGCTGATACCATAGCAGTGCCCCAAGAAGACAAAGCCAAATTATAACTAAGGATTGGAGTTTTGAGTGGTTTGCTAAGAAATAGAGATGTTTTCAGAGGGATGTTTCAGTCCTTTGGTGGGGTCACCACACCCTAGAGCCTTCCTTGGTCCTCAGATTTTTCAGGTCCAGAGACTCCATTATGTCTCCCACCTAGAGATAATTAGCCTCTCAGGTACTGGTGAACTGTCGTGTACCAAGCTCACCTTGAGAAACAGCAGTGCCACATTGACACTTACTCTCCGTAGAAAAGTCTCCATGGGAAAGCTGGTCATCATCAGAGAGCTATCTGGTGACTGAGTGATGAGGAGTCTGTCGGTTGTGTTTAATCACCGTTGGCATCAGAAGTATGACGTGCTGTATCCATTTTCAGTCAGCAGTGTGTCTGCGCTGTGGGGCCCCTCCGCTGAGAACCTTAGAGACAGATTGCTAATGTCTGCCTCTGTCTCTTTTAAAAGCATCATGTGGACTGTCCCCTTCTGTTTTTCACATAGTATCATATAATTAATTCGGATATAGTCTTGTGGTTACAGATTTCAGTCACCTTAATTATATTGTTGATACTCCTAAACTTAAGTAAAAAATATTTTTAGTGTTTCCATTTCTTCATGTGACTGATATCTTCTTTATTAGATTTTATTTCTCAGAATGTAACTAGTTTGGAGATTAATTTGTTATTAAGACTGCTTATCTACACAAACCATTTGAATTGAATGATATTCAGAATATTTTTAAACAGAAGTAACATCTTGATTTATCTATATTTCTCAGGTTCAAATTTCTGGCTAACCAGTACAAATCTATATACCCCACTTTGGAAATAGACATTGAAGGTGAATTACAAAAACTCAAGGTAATGCTTTCTGACCTTTATAATGTTTTTTTTAAAACTCGCTTGCCAAATTGGCATCTAGATCTTTCATTCATTTAGGCTTTGTGTTAGGAACTGAAAATATAAGAATAAAGAACATACGGTCTTCAATTTCCTTATATTATGACTGAGAAGATACACATTAAATGGTTGGTAGTATAATAAGTGCCATGCAGATATGTGTAAAGTATTATAGATAAGAACTGGTAAAGTGAATTGTTTGTCCTGTTTAAGTCTCAAAGCATATAGGCTTAAAGGGACACGGCGTATTTGAGTAACTTGTCATGATGCGACTTAAACAAAAGACTGTGTGGGGAGCAAGAGTGAAGGACCTGAAAATACAATGAAACAAGTAGGGACCGAATCCTTGGTCTTACATTGGTCTTATGTGCAGTGATAGGGAGTTTAGCTTTTATCCTGGAGATGATGAAAAGCTACTGAATAATTTTGAGCAAAAAAAAGACTAGATTTGTATTATATAAAAATCACCCATAATAATGTGGAGGTCAGATAACAAAGGGACAAGTGAGGGATGGTAACTTTTCAAGCTAACCAGCCCATTTAGGAATGATAACCCATAGGGTCAGTCTCTTTAGCACTGTGCTCTTAAGAGATAATCAGATAATTGGCCAAAGATGAGGCCACAGTTGGCAACTGCTAGGTGTCACTGCTGCCTGAGTCAGTCAGTAGTCAAGTCTCCCATCCTCTCCACCCTCCCTTCCTCCACTGTCTTCGGAGAATTTCAGGCTATTTCCTGAGTATCTCATTGCTCCTCTTCTGTAAATAAGTATGAACATCAATTCCAGAGCTGAATAGGAATGTATAAGCCTCATATGCCATTCTAGAACATTTGCAGCCCTTAGGTCTGTCCACTCACTAAATTCCTAAAAAAAATGACCTCTAAGGAACATTCTAAATATTAGGTATTTGGATTCCAGTGTATTGATTCACTTAGAATAGACTGCCATTTTCTTTTCATTCTGTCATGCAAAAAATATTTAAAATTTATTACTAGCAACTTGGAAATATTTATGTACTCAAGTACGGGTATGGCTTTTCGATTCTATTTTTAACATGTTCCATGTGAACGTAACATAGATGAGTAATAATGAACAGAACTGGGTAAGAAGATTCTTAATAGGTGATATATGTTAATCAGGACTTTAAGGACAAGGGGTGTGATGAATAGTATGATCATTCCAGGCACAAAAAAAGGACTAAAACAGGAATAAGCATGAGATTGGAGACTAGAGCCAAGAGGTGACCATACTCTTTGATCAATGGTATAATATAGTCAGGTGGGTTCGTAAGTGGATTTTGGAATTTCCATACTAGCTGGCTAAATATTTAAACATAGTTGAGGGCCGGCCCCGTGGCTTGGTGGTTAGATGAGCGCGCTCCGATGCTGGTGGCCCGGGTTCGGATCCCGGGCGCGCACCGAGGCACCACTTCTCTGTCCATCCTGAGGCCGAGTCCCACATACAGCAACTAGAAGGATGTGCAGTTATGGCATACAACTATCTGCTGGGGCTTTGGGGGGAAAAAATAAATAAATAAAATCTTTAAAAAAATAAATAAATAAAAAAAAAATAAACATAGTTGAGACTAGGTTTTATTAACTATAGGCCTTGGGGGAACTCTTGTTTATATTACATTTTTAATTGAATTCTACAATTAAGCAGTATTGTTAACACTTTATATTTTGAGAAAGTTTTGTAATGCTCACGTGTAAAATGGTATTTGATATTATCTACCAGTAATACTGCTGAGATGTTTTGCTACAATGGAGTACAATGGCGAAAGAATATCAGCAATCAATCATTGAGATTTGCATGCTTGGCAATGTCGCTTGTGGCCCTCACCACATTTTGAGAATCACCCCGATGCAAAACTCATTTCAAAACTCATGGTTACATGGATTACAAATGCACCTTTTTAGATACCTCACAAAATATAAAAGCACAATGTAATGTAGTCAGTTCTTTTTATTTTCCTGAAAGCTGGTTTATGAAGTATGAGTACTTGGCTATTCAGAAGGTTGTCATCATTATTGGCAGTGAGGTTAATATAGAACCTTTGAATTTCATCGTGTCTCTACCTCTCTGGAGCTAGTGTCTCTTTTCTGGTTCTGGAGAGTCAGCGTGAGAGACCAAAGCTAATCCAAATGTTGCAGTAGGTGAGCACCATCACCAACCCCTTTCTACGTGGCATTTGGCTGTTTTCACTGTCATAAAGTCAGGTGATTTGTACTTGTACTGGTTATATTGTAAATTTATTGTATAGATTCAAATTGGTTTTTGTCTTTGTGTATAGGGTTATATGGAAAGGATTAAACCAATGGTGAAAGATGGAGTTTATTTCCTATATGAGGCCCTACATGGACCACCCAAGAAAATCTTGGTAGAAGGTGCAAATGCAGCACTACTAGATATTGATTTTGGTAAGTAAGATGTGACTTATGGGGAGCTTAACTGAGCCCTACAGTACTTAAGATATAAATAATTAATGTTAGCATTAAGGGGTTTTAAAACAAGGCTTTTAGCTTCTATATTCAGGAATGATGGAAGTTTGTCCTCCTATACTCTTCTTTAAAGGAATATTGTGGAAACCACAATGCAAGTGTGCAGTTTTGTAGTTCATTCGAAAAATAAAATCACTATTCAGGTCCGTGTGGGTTTGGGAGTCTATAAACTGATTTTTGTTGTTTGGTTCTTGGTTCAATTCCAGACCTCATTTCCTTGAAACTGTAAGATGATTAAATGAATCCTATGAAAGGATCTTTATCTTTAATTCTGCCTTTTTTTAAACATCAGGAACTAATATACATTGTTATTAAACATGCATATTCTAAGATCTGTGGAAGTCTGTTTAATTAACTCCCTGGGCATGAGATTCTGAATGGATTTAGAGTATTGCCTCCATCTTCAAAAAGTTAATGCTTAAGGTCTTCAAACTACTGTCCCATTAGTTCGTAGGCCTTTCCATCTAAACGTGGTCTCTCGGGATAAGTCTGATTGTTTTCAGCTTTTATTGACATTCCTTTGGGCTTTTGACTCCAAGTAAACCAGTTTAAACACAGCATTTCTATATAGTAAATATGTATTTTTGATACCATAATATGCCTATCCAATCTGGAAAGAAAGCAGAGTGTCTAATTAGCATAGTGAATAGTTTAAGTAAGAAGAGGATCTTTTGTGGGGTGGGGGTATACCACTCTTAGCTTACTTTTGTCATTTCTAGGATTCCCTGAATAGACATCAAAAAGTAGGGAAATGCTGAATAGCACAAAATTCTTAGTGTGTTGTTGTCACTCCAGGTTGCTGCTGTACCTTAAATATTCATACCAAGGAATATGTTTTAAACTAACAGGAAAGTGTTAAAATACATAGATTATAAGTCTATATAGTGGAATAACACTGGGGTTTTTGCATTAAATTATTTAGCTGTCCATTAGGTGAGTACCTACCATGCAGAGCTGAGTAACTCCAGGAGCCTCTCCAGTGTAAGCACTGTAGTTATAGTTCTAACCACCTGTGTTTTTATCTCATTAAAAGAGACAAAAAGAATTAAGAATAAAACACTGGGGCTTTGAGAGGGCAGTTAACAGTTATATTCAGGTCTGTCAAATACCTAGAATATATTCAAATGCAGAATTTTCATAGTAATTGTTTTAAAATAATGTATAACTGTGTGTATATATATTTTAATATTTGTTTTTATTTTTAGGAACTTATCCTTTTGTAACCTCTTCAAACTGTACAGTTGGAGGCGTTTGTACTGGATTGGGTATGCCCCCTCAAAATGTTGGAGAAGTGTATGGAGTTGTGAAAGCTTATACAACTAGAGTTGGTATTGGTGCCTTTCCTACAGAGCAAGATAATGTAAGCCTATTTCTCAGTAAATTGGATCCAAAAAGTTTTAAAATAAAAATTCATGTTTTTTTTTTCCTTAATGAATTCTTGTCTTCGGTGCATTTCACTTAATGTATGAGATTGATCAGAGCAACATTAAAAAAGAAATTCAGGGTCCGGCCCAGTGGCGCGAGTGGTTAAGTGCGCGCGCTTCGCTGCGGCGGCCCGGGGTTCGCTGGTTCGAATCCTGGGTGCGCACCAACACACCGCTTGTCAAGCCATGCTGTGGTGGTGTCCCATATAAAGTGGAAGAAGATGGGCACGGATGCTAGCCCAGGGCCAGTCTTCCTCAACAAAAAGAGGAGGATTGGCAGATGTTAGCTTAGGGCCGATCTTCCTCAAAAAAAAAAAAAAAAAATTATACACACTTTTATTATTAGTGGCAGCAGCTTGGCAACAAAAGAGGAGGGGTTAGAGGGCCCTTAAGGGTGACTGTAATTGCAAGGCTGAAGAAGGTGGGTTTATGAAGGGATTAGGACAGTGGAGGAGAAGGAAGAAGTTAAAAATAACAACTGCCTGTCACCAAGAGCTTATTAGGAGCGAGGGTGGAGGAAAGTGGTCTCCAGACACTGTCTCGTCGCAGCCAGCACTTGGTGCTGGTGACTCGGGCCAGGCACTGCCTCAGTGCTGTCGAATTGGAAGTTTTCTGGATCCTCACAGCAGCTCAGGGAGCTGGGTGTTATCACCATCCTTTTGTCCATTCTACACGTGAGGAAACAGGCCCGGAGAGCTGAAGTAACTCACCCGAGGCCACACAGACAGACAGGGCTGGGATTCCAACCTGACCAAGCAGCATTTTGCAAAAGCCATAATTGTGATGATATCAGAGTACAAGAGATAATGAAATGATGGCTTTAATCAGAAAGGTGTAAATTAGGGAATAGACAGATCACAGATGGGAAAATTAGGCTGTAGGGAGTGGCTGTATCTTAGATCTTTGAGCATTGTTTTAACTTAATTCTCTTAAAAAGGGCACTGTGATCAAAAACTTAATAGGTGCGAGTTTGCCTCATGGTTTTCAGGAAAATCATCATACTACAGCTGTTCTTGGAACAACTGGCTTAACTTGTCTATTCTAATAAATACTTATTAACAACTGAGTTTTTAAAATGCAGCTTTATATTTTTTATATGTTAATCTAAATTTTAAGAAGTTATCTATATAACATCATAAAAAATATTAGTTTTAAAAAATGAAGCAAAAAGTGGACCTATTCTAAATAATGCTTCCCTCACATAAAATCCATCATCTCTTTGGAATTCTACCTTCAACTTAGTTATTTTCTGAAAGATGTTTATCTCAAAAAGACTTTGATTTGTTATAAGATCTTAAGTATAATTCTACTGGATTTACAGCATTGGTATTCTAATCCTAAAGTTCTATTTTCTGTTCCCTAGGAAATTGGAGAGTTATTACAAACAAGGGGTAGAGAGTTTGGTGTAACTACTGGGAGGAAAAGAAGGTGTGGCTGGTTGGACCTTGTCTTGCTCAGATATGCTCATATGATTAATGGATTTACTGCGTGAGTATTCTTAGAAGCATTTATTTCGGGAAATAATAGGACAGTTCATGACCACACGTTAAATTTTGTGGAGTGCAAACTTGAGTTAGTACCCTAACAGAAAAATTTCACTTTTTAGCTTCCAAATGAAATTGTAGTTCAACGTAGAAGTAGACCAAGATATAAGGGAAGGGTACATGACAAGAGGGACCCCAAGTTATCTTCCTAGACATCCAAGGATGGGAGAAAAGAATCATACTCTGACTTGTGTATAAGTATAGAAGGAAGTAGGATAGGTAGGTGGGTAGGTAGGTAGGTAGGTGGATGGATGGGTGGATGGATGGAGCAAGCATAGAGTATGCATACAGAAGGCAGGCAGTGCAACATTGATTTAGTGCATGGGCTTGATGGATGTCTGACTTTTTGATTCAAATCTCAGATCCATGCGTTGTGCTGTGTGACTTTGGGCAAGTTAATCTTTCTGTGCCTTTTCATCTTCTTTAAAATCTAGATAATAGTATTACCTACTTTATAGGGCTGTTTTGAAAATTAGATGAGAATGTAATGAGAGCATATAGGACATTGCCTGGCTCACTGAAAATGCTCAGTAAAAGTTGTTACTAACACATATACATAAAATATGTAAATAAATGTATTCGTGTCTATATTAATTAAGCTTAACTTCTGGCAGATAACAGAATAAAGGATAAAACAATAATTGGTGGATGAGAATTCCAAACCTAGTGTTTTATCTAATTTCTACAGATTTTCCCTTAAAACTCTGTTTTCCAGTCAGTTCATTGGGAGATTTTGATGTATCATTAAAAAGTCCATGGTGTGGTTTCCTCACTCTCCTTTGACAATTTCTGACCAGAAAGGTGGAGGTGATGGTAACCAGAGTGAAGAAATGAGGGTTGCTGGCATGTGGGTGAACATACATATATCTTGCGGTCATCCGTGTGGGGCAGTGAGTTCTGCTGTGTCCCACAGTCACCAAATGCATCCTTTACTCCAGGCATATTTACATCTCACAAATGTTGATCAATCATAAGAAAGCTAAGCAGGAGGGTGTGGATTAATCGGTGGAAATCTACTATAATTATTAGAAAAGTAACTTACTAGTAGGTCAGTTAAGTCATTTTTTTATCACGAGGGAATTCCATCAGTATGTTGTCTTATAGCGTTTTATGTGTGGTGTGATTTAAAATATAATCCTAACCAGTTTTCAGAATTGCTTTGGAATTTTTAGCTTTGTATGAATTTTCCTTTACTTCTTACCAAGATGGAAGTTAGGGCTTGAAAGAGTTTGCTGTTTTAACGTTGCCTTTTCTTCCAAAATTAGGTTGGCACTTACCAAATTGGATATTTTGGACATGTTTATGGAAATAAAAGTTGGAGTTGCTTACAAATTAGATGGTGAAATCATACCTCATTTCCCAGGTACTCTTTTTAGGCTATGTATAAAAAGTATTGTTAGGTGAATGTATTAGAGCAGTTTCATAAAGCTATTCTGTATACTGTGTGATATATAGCCATAGGCTTGATAGGTCTTTTGTGAAGCGTGCAAGTGTATACACTTACTGCTGGCATTTGTTTCATAGCTGCTTTCATTTGGGTGCTGGCTCACAGCAAGCATGTGCTCAAACTCAAAACACGAAAGCAGAGGCGTGGTGCCTCAGCCCAGTGATGCTGCTTCTGAATCTCATCTCCCCAGTTTTGAAGTAACTTCTGTGTAGGCATTCCTCCCTTCCTTGAGAAATATGGGGTAGGGGAAAGAGCCCTGTCTGTCAGGGTAAGCAGGTTCCTCATACGTTAACCCACCCTGTCCTTCAGGGCACACGAATGATTTTCTCTAACCTCTATTCTGGGTCTAAAGAGGGTGGAGGTAGGGAGACTTCTGCTTGAAGCAGTGTGTTTTTTCAGGTGTATCTTTAGTTTTATGATTTCTTCAGTTACTCAGGAAGTTCCAAAAATGTTTCCAGCTTCCAGAAATAGGAACTGTTAATTTGTTTAGTGATCCTGTAAGATTGAGAATATGCCAAATGAAGGAATCTTGACTAGCTTAATGAAACTTGGTAGGCTGGTAGGTTTTGTGACTTGCTGATAACAACCAGTCCTTGGGAATTGAGAATAGCTTCAAGTTCTTAGAAACATGTTTAAAGTCATTCAACATCTGAGCCATCTCCAGTTCAGTTTCTCTTGACTGTTCTTTTCCTTGATTGTGGATCACTGTTTCTCTGTCTAATGACTTTTGGTTGAAAATTGGACATTGTGGATAATCTGTTGTAGAGACTCGGATTCTGTTTATCTTCCTCTGAAGAGTATTGGTTCTTGTTTTAGGGGACAGTTGAATTACAGGCTAATCATCTTGAACTTGTAGAACTTGGTTTATGCTTTGTTAGCATAGTTATGTGGAGAACCCAGGCTCTTTCCCAAAGCTCTCTAACCCAATGTGAGTTAGTCTCCTAATTCTGTCTCCTCTGTGATCTTGGCAGAGCTTGGTTTTAGGCTTCATTATGGGGATCTGTAGGAGGTTTTACTTGAGAGTGTGGTTTTCACTTTTAAGGAGCAGCCTTTCTGGTGTCTCAGCTGGACGCCAGAAGAGTTAACACGGAAAGAGATCTCTCCAGTCTGGCGGTCCTGGAGCTCCAGCGCACCCGTCCCTTCCCTTCCACCAGCACTGCTTGACCCCTAGAATTTTTGTCCCACTCAGCCGTGTAACAGCTGCTACTGGTAAGCCTCCGATGGTCCCATTCTTTGCATGTCAGTTGAACTTTAGCCATGGGACTTTCACGTGGACTTGGGGTGGGGGGCCGGGTCTGCATAGCTCCTTCCTCTCTGATACTCGGTCTCGATGATTCTAGCTGCTTCGGCTTCCCTGAAATCGGACATCTGCCTTCTCAGGTCGGTGGGACCACTGTTCTCTGCTGACTCCAGCGGTCAGGAAATTGTCCCTAGGCAGAGAGCTGAGTGGTTTCAGGACTTGCTTGTGAGTTTTCTTTCTCTCAGAAACCACAGTTTTATGCTGCCTGTTGTCCACTGCCTGGGAAGAGTCGTCATATATTTTGTTCAGTTTTTTCATTGTTTATGCTGGGAGAATTAGTCTGGAACCATGTACTGCATCATGGCTGGACGGAGACGCCCCGCTGAGTCTCCTGATTCCTTCTATTGTCTGTCACAGGCAGTTTTGAACCATCTACTTAGTGTGGTTCTTCACTTTTGTCTAAGCTTCCAAGAACATTCCTAGCAGCCTGTTTTCATCATCTTTGTATGGTGGATCATGGGCGAGCACGCCCATATCAGTCTATTTGCGTATTTGGCTTTACTTTCCACCCCCCGCCGTACCCTTGATCCAGCACTCTCAGGATCTAGTTCTCTACAGACTCCTTGGCTCCTGCTGGTCAATGCTGGCTCAGTCCTGCAGATCCTTCAGAATGTGGTCCCTTTCCTCCCTTAGCTGGCCCAGCGCTTCGTTGGCCAAGTTGTGTTGTGACTTGGCTCTAGATATTGTTTGCTGGTCGGGAGGGGAGGTCAGGGTAGCACCTGAGAGGGGCACATGCTGCCTTGTGAGGGAGAGGCTTCTGCATCATCGTCAAGCAAGGGGAAGCCTGAGACTTTAACAGGAATTAGTAGGCCACTCTGCAGGCCATCAGCACAGCTAGGGATTCAGGATTTTCATGTACATCAACCCAGATGTCCCTCCAAAGTCTCAGGGTCCCACTTTTTCTCAAACAGGGCTCTGGCTTTGTCATGGCAGATTTGCTGGATTTGAGAATTCACCTTTCTCTGGAGCTTCTGCTGACTGTATGACCGGGTCTCAAGCCTGATCCTCAGCTTTTTCTGCCGTCTACTGTGGGAGAGGAGATTCTCTCTAGATGCTGCAGCCAGGGAGGCCCTCTGACTTTCACACTTTGCCTTAAAGTGGTGAAAGACCCTTAGTTTTCATCGATCTTTCGTTGTCTTTTTCCAGTTCAAGACTGGCCTTCATCTAGAGCCGTCCCATTCCATGGTTCCGTTGTGCTTATTTCTCGGTGCTTCAGATACTGCCGGTGCTGTAGTTCCCACCAGTGTGGCTTCCCAGTTCACCTCCCATGGACGTTGTGACCTTGCAGTACTACAGCATGCCAGAGACTATCCATACCCTGCCTCCCACAGTGGTGGTCCTCTCTGCCAGCAGCTGGCCAGTGATCCAGCTCCAAGATCCCATTTTAGAGCCTTCTTCCTCACACCACTCTGGCACCAACTGTCTTAGGTTGCGTTCCTTGGGAAGCAGACTCTGATGTGAGAGATTCGCATGCAGGTAGTTTGTTCATAAGTGTTCTGAGCAACGTGTGAGGGAGTGATATCCAGAGGGTGAGGCAGAGGGAGAAGTTGAGCTGCAAAGTAATTACATAAAAAGCACTCAGCTGATCCCATGGGAGCTCTGGGGGGGCCCCTCAGAGTTGTCCCAGTAAGTATCCCACATTGACAAATGGCGGGATACAGGCTGCTCCAGGGAGGCAGCTCCCTTCAGTGGACGGCAGTTTCTGGGGAGATTCTGAACCGTGAGTTGTCACAGCAGGGGGAATGAGTGTCTCAGTCCTGAGAGGGAAATCTGGGCAGTGAGCCATCGCACCCTCTGCACTGTCCCTGGTCAGAGACGCTGTCCTTGTGTAGTGCATTTCAGTTTCTGTTAGGGGTACGGAGAAAACAGTGAGGTGAGAGAAGGAAGACACTTTACAGCTGAGCTTCTGTGCACAGTCACAAAAGTGGTGGACGATTTCCTGACGAGAGCAAGTATGCGAGCCTTATTTCTGTGAGACTACTGCTGTTATGCAGATCTGCAGTCCCTCATCCACACTGGAGAAATCTGAAAGAGTTCTAAAAGTGGGAAGTTTTTAGTTTGGCACCAAAACTCATTTGACAGCAAAACCTGATTAGCTGATGTTAGAAGTAATAATCTACCCACTTAGAGTGAATAATCCTGTGTTGCTGCAGAAATATGTTTGATTCTAAAATACTACCCCAGAGGGTCTATGCACTGTTTTATCTTTGTAAACTCTGAAAAATTCTAAATTCCGCAACGTGCCTGGCTCCAGGGAGTTTGATGAGAGATTGTGAACCTCTGATATATCAAAAAGTTGTCTGACAGCAGGCAGTGTCCGCCATGAACAAATGTACTTCTCTTTAACTTTCAGCAAACCAAGAAGTCTTAAATAAAGTTGAGGTTCAGTATAAGACTCTCCCAGGATGGAACACAGACATATCAAATGCAAGGACATTTAAAGAGCTACCTGTTAATGCACAAAATTATGTTCGATTTATTGAAGATGAGCTTCGAGTTCCAGGTAAATATAAACACTTTGTGAACAGCTATATTGACTTTTCCTGCTTTTGATTTAAAGAGAGATTATCATCACATTGTAGAGTGCTCATGATTTGCAGAAATGCCCAGGAAAATAGACAACAGTTTTATTCCTTAGAGTAAATATATTCATCTTTCTCCAATCCTTCATATGCCTGAAGACAGTAGATTACGTCTCACCCTTTTTGACCCTGTCTTAATCCCGTTACGTCCGTTTTTACCCTGTGACGTTCATTCTTGTTTCTTTCTCCCTCTTAATAACAAATCCTTTCGTAGCTTCACCACCACCACCAAAAATGGTTGGTGGTTTTTTCATTTGGAGTTAAACTTCCCTTGAGAGTTGGGGGAATTTGTTGAATATATATTAGGAAATAATAGTTCCTAAAAAATAGGAAATCTAATTTGAAAAAATTTAAGAGAAGAATAAAGAATAAAACTTCCTTATTAAAAAACAAATGTTAGCTGGCCAGGGAGTTAGGTATAACCACATTATGGTTGTGACTAGTCCTGTGAAGTTTTTCTTTTAACAAATTGCTTTTCCCTTTTATTTGCACTGATGGAGATTTGAGAGAAAAGTGAAGTGGGTGGGAGGTTTCCTCCATATGAAATCTATTATGTCCTTATTCTTATTTTGTGCTGTGGTTCATTTGAATTTGTGGTTCGTCTCAAATCCATCCGTATTGCTTGCTGCCCCCCACTTGATGTCAGATTCAGTGAGCACGCTTGCTCACTGCTCTCGGTCAACATTTTTTGAAATATAAGCCAGTGAATTTAACAATGACATCTGTAAAATACCAGAGGTTTACCACGTGGTGCAGATGGTAGAGAGTCCCACAGACTGTATGGAGGCGGTTCCTAAGGCTGCGCAAGGTAAAACTGTTCTCCTCCAGATAGTTCTACTTTTTGAGATACAAAAGTTACAGTGACACTTCAGTATTCTCTTAGCATCATCCATTCATCAAAGATGCTTATCTTTTCAGTTATTAGGAACTTGATCAAAAGCGCCTTAAGTCTCTGCTTGTTTGGGCCAATATTTTACTATCCTAGTTATTAGGAACTGAGGAATTGTAAATATCATGCAATTATGAAACAGGAAATGGTAAGAGGAACTACCCTGTGCTGCTCTCGACTGCACTTTCCGTTTACAAACTGGCACAATCTGCTAACAGAATAGAACAAACAGGAAAATGTTGACACTGAGAAAAGTGGGGGATCTGTTAATCCCAGAGATTGAACGTTATAAATGAATTAATAATATCATTATACTTTTTTTCCCCTTGCAGTTAAATGGATTGGTGTGGGTAAATCCAGGGAGTCTATGATTCAGCTCTTCTGAGGAGTCCAGTGACGCAAGAAACACTCCTTTGTGAGGCGGAAAAGGACTTTCTTAGCTGTTTCATTTCTGATCTACAAATTTCAAGAATAAAGACATCGAAGTGAGTTTTAAGGCCCACAGTTGTTTCCAGTCTTGTAAGACGGCTGGCTGGTGTGGAGAGAAGCTTCGGCACATTCCAGTGCCAGCTTCCTAGCTAGCATCGTTGCCGAATCACTTGATGCTCCTGCTGCTCATGGTGCCTCATGTTCTTTTAATGTTTAGTAGTGGTGTAATCCACGTTGTTTGGAATCTAAAATAGAGTTACTTTCAATGTAGCTTTTTTTCATTGTTGTCATTGTGTGTTCATAGGTTTTACCTCTGTTATATGGTAAGAACAATTAATGCAGTTTTGCACAAATATTTTTACATTCTGATCATTCAATTCTGTCATTGTAATCTTTGCTATTAGGAAAAATGATGAAAAGAGGAATTCTGTAAACTTTTGTAATGCTATAAATTCTGTTTAAATTGTGAACTGTTTATTTTCTGCTGAGACCATTACAAATTTGAGCTTTGGCGGGGGGGACGGTTATATTCATGGGTCCTTGAATTTGTACAGAACACAAAACTTATTTCTCTCTGTAAATTATTTAATACATTGAACATTTAACTCAATGTTCAAAGAGAAAAGGTGTTCCCTAAAGCAGTGATCTTAATGTTAAAAAAAAATTAGTCATTAAAAGACCTGTTGTGATATTTGGTGGATATTTTTCTTTAATTTCAGACTTTAACTCTGAAATGTGTAGCTTTCCTTTTTTATCTTACCCTTACTTCCAGATCGAGTGGGTTGATTTTTCAACATTGTGCCTGCCAGTATGCCTACAAAATCCTCTATAAGTGTCCACATAAACCCAAATTGTTCATAATTTTGATCATGCGTTTATTTTGCCTTTCTTGAAAAAAAGGAGGGGTTATTTTGACAATTAGGCTTAACATATTGTGTTGTAGATTACCCTTCAGTGAACTATTTTAAATGTTGAAATTAGGTGCCACTTTATTTTATTATGCTATCAATAGCTGATTAAAAAGGACCAGATATTTCTAGTATGCTTTGTGTATTGTGTTTTTGTTCTCATAAGAGAAGAGTTATAATACTAGTATATACAAGAAGGAACTTTATCCCTGCAGTATATGTGGATAAGGTGGGGAGAGGTCAAAAACAGAATCTTTGAAAGGATCTAAATCTCTCATCTTTACTACATATATTTTTATTAATAGTTCAAGAAAAATACTAAAACAGGAACAGCCTTATTGGAGTCAACTAATAAGAAGGTTAGTACAGATGATCTTACAGGCCCACTACTGATCAATAATGACCTTTATGTAAAAAAAAATAATTTATATTTAATATATAATAAATAATTTTTATTTATTCTAATGAAAATTGGGCTTTTATTTCTTCTTACTCTTTCATCTAACTACTTGGACTTCACATTAAATTAGCTCCCAGAGGCGAAAGCTCTATTAGAAGTAAGCCTTTTAAAGTCCACATTCTTATCTGGGCTGTGAGCACTGCATACTGAAGCATATTTTTAGTAATGGTCGAGAAGCAGATATAAAGATGCCATTCTCCGAGTCAGGAGTGCTCTTGTTTTTTACCAAAAAAGTTTAACTCTCCTATTGATGTTGACAGGCATTTACTCATTTTTGACCAGTTTGAGTGATTCTCTCCCATTTCTCTTGAAAGTGTGCTGTTTGCTCATTAAATTGGTGAAGAGAGGATCTGTTCTTCACATCTAGTTCAGTCTTTAAAATCATAGACAACTGTATTAAAATAATAAATCTTTATTGAAAAGTATATATGCTAGATGCTGCCAGGTATTGGGTATGTGGTGATGACAGGACAAGTCCACGATCTTCCTGAAATTTATTGTAGTGGGGACCGCGTGTTAAAGCAACATGTATTCAGAATAAGTGATGTCGTGTGCTACGATGGAGAGGGCCAGCTGCCGTCAAGGAGAACCGAATCTTAACTTGAAAAGGGTCCAAGAAGGCCTTTAATAGAAATAGTATTTAAATAGATCCAGGGCCGGCCCCGTGGCTTGGTGGTTAAGTGAGCGCGCTCCAGTGCTGGCGGCCCGGGTTCGGATCCCGGGCTCGCACCGACGTGCTGCTTCTCTGGCCATGCTGAGACCGCGTCCCACATACAGCAACTAGAAGGGTGTGCAGCTATGACATACAACTATCTACTGGGGCTTTGGGGGAAAAAATAAATAAATAAAATCTTTAAATAGATCCAAAGGAGGAGTAGTCAGAGGGACAGTGTGCAGAGGGACAGTGTGCAAAGGCCCAGAGACGGGAAAGAATTTGGAAAGTTGGAGCAGCTGAACAAAACGGATTGGGGGGCTGGTGGGGCTGGTGAGGTTGGCAGGAAATTGGGGGAAGAGTAAGCCAAACAACCAAAACAAAAGGGAATATATATGTTTAAGGAGGCATGAGGAGAGCACAGAAAAAATCACTGAAACAAAACACATGCACTCTACGTTTTAAAACTCAGTAGAAGAGAACTGGAGGCAGAACAAGATATTTCAATGGGGAGAGAGGTCCTATTGAGTGTATCTTTTTACATATTAATTGATTAATATAGTTGAATGGGAATGCCAGTCCTTCACAAATGAGTATATGAACTTAATGCCATTCCAGTCAGGATTGCCATGGGGTTCTCTGTAACTGGAAAAAATTACATTAAACCTTAGGTGGAAAAATGAATATGCAAAAATTCCTAAGATATTTTTGAAAAAAGAACATGTTGAGAGAGGAGGTTCTCCCCACCAGATGTTAAAACATTATCAAGTTACTATAATCGAAGAATGTGATAACTGTCATGGCAAAGAACAGATACATAAGGGAAATGGACCATTCCAGAAACAGATGCAACATATATGGGAACTTAATATAGGCTAAAAATGGCATTTCCTTTCTTGGGAAAAGAATACATTAAAAAAATGAGGATAGCAAAACAATCTCAATATAAAATTTGGATTCCAGATAGAATAAAAATCTAAATTATAAAAGTTTTAAGTAATGAAAATAATATACATAATATATATGTATAATATATACAAATAATATACATAATCTCAGGGAGAGCATTCTAAAGAAAAACAGAAAATTCGGAAAGCTTAAAGAAAAATGTACCGATTTGACCAAATTTAAAAGTTTTTTAAATACTATGAACAAAGTTTTTTGTTAAAAAAAGGAAAACGTCAGGGCCAGCCCCATGGTGTAGTGGTTAAGTGCGTCCGCTCCCCTGCTGGTGGCCCGGTTTCGGTGCGCACCGATGCACTGCTTGTCAGGCCATGCTGTGGAGGTGTCCCACATAAAGTGGAGGAGGATCGGCACGGATGTTATCCCAGGGCCAGTCTTCCTCAGCAAAAAGAGGAGGATTGGCATGGATGTTAGCTCAGGGCTGATCTTCCTCACCAAAAAAATAAAAAAGGAAAACGTGAGAAAACAAAAACAAACTTGGGGAAAAATATTTCAACACATATCCCTAATACACAAAGGGCTGCCACAAATAAGAACGTCACACTAATAGAAAGATGGGCAAAATCAATATATATCAGACAATCCACTGAAAAAATAAATGTAAATGGCCCAAAACGTGAAAAGGTGTTCACCTTCCCCTGTAGATAGGAAAATGTAAGTTAATACAAGGAGATACCGCTTTTCATCTCTCATTGGTAAACAGCAAAAGCAAAACCAGTGCTACCAAGAGTGGGAAGAAACAGCCCCTTTCATGTGTTGCTAGCACAAGTGGAATTACCACAATCTGCGGGGGAGCAATTTTGCAATTTCTGTTACAAATTGTATTTGCAAATCCCTTGACCCGCCAGCAATCTCACCACCAAAACAAAAACAAAAACAAAAAAAAGGCAGCGCTCTTTTGCATATAATTGGCTAATTGGAAGCACATGAATGTCCATTAATTGCATACCAGTCTTCTATGAAACCTTTAAAAACATCTATCCATACTGATTATACAGATGAGCATGCCATATGGACATGGATACAGCACGTTTTCTATAGTGTGACATCATTTGGAAGAAGTGGGGAATAGAGGAAGAAAATTTAAAACTGTGTCTATATTTGTTGGTTTAAACCTGGGACAAATACATAAGGGTATATCTCAAACAGTTAACACTGCTCACTGGGAGAGGACTTGGAGGTTTTCCTTATACATCTTTGTATTGTTTAGATTTTTTAAAGTATATAATTGTAAGTATTTAAGAAATGAGTTGTAGCAGTTACTGAGAATAAATTACTATTTCAAATGTACTTGAGAACTGAGTATATTCAGTGATTAATAATTTCAGAAATGCACATTACACATCACGGTCAGTCTGCCTCTGGAGAAGTATGATTGGGATGGTGACATCTGACATATTACACACTCGCTCTTTAGACACCCTGTGAACGCACATCCACAGTGACACAAATACAGAAATGGTGAATGAAGGAAAAACCATGCTTTCACTGGATTCTGCAGTCACATAGTATACAAGCTAGGAAGTGGCCTGTTTGGGAAATGCTTCCAGAATTCTGGGGAAGAGAAGACTATTAGCTCTGTAACTTATTTCCGACTTTTTTTTCCTCAAGGTTAAAGAATAGTTTTGTTTGGAAACACCAACATATACCATTAGCCAGAAGCTCATCTAGAACAGCATCCACCTTTATAGAATCTACCCGAGAAGGAAAATAAGATTTGGATCACCTTTATGTACAGCCTCAATTCATCTGTCTTCCTTACCTTCCCTAGAGACGTCTTGGTCTGATTTTGTTTTATTTTTATCAAAGTGATACATACATATGGTTTTTATTTAAACAACTCTATTGAGGTGTAATTTATATACCATAAAATTCACCTGTTTTAAGAATACAATTCGGTGATTTAGTAGATTTACAGAATTGTGCAACCATCACCACAATCCAATTTTAGAACATTTCCGTCACCCTATAAAAATCCTTTGTGCTCATCTGTAGTCACTCCCCATTCCCACTCGCAGCCTCACGTATCTACTTTCTGTCTCAATAGAATTGCCTTTCCTGGACATTTCACATAAATGAAATCATGCAATATACAATCTTTTGCATTTAGCTGTTTTAATTTAATGTAATGTTTTGAGACCATACCATGTACTTCATCCATTTTTATTGCTGAATAGTATTCCATTTTATGGATATTCCTCAGTTTCTTCATTCGTCTGTTCACGGACACTTGGATTATTTTCTGTTTTGGGCTCTTAGGAAAAATGCGCCCCTTATGAGCATTTGTATGTAAGTCTTTGTGTGGACATATCTTTTCATTTCTCTTAGGGTGATACCTAGGAGTGGAATTTCTGGATCATATTGTACATTTATATTTAATTTTTTAAAGAAATTTCCAGAGTGGCTGCACCACTTTACACTCCTACCAGCAATGTATAAGGGTTCCTGTTTCTCCACATCCTGATCAATACTTATTATTGTAGCCATTCTAATAGGTGTGAAGCGTTCTCTTGTTTTAATTGGCATTTTCCTAGTCTGACTAATGATGTTCCAACATTTTTTCATGGCCATTTGTATATTTTTGTTGAAATATCTCTTCAAATATTTTGCCCATTTTTGTAAATTTTTTTTGTGTGTGTGAGGCAGATTAGCCCTGAGCTAACATCTATCACCAATCCTCCTCTTTTTCCTAAGGAAGATTGCCCCTGGGCTAACATTCGTGCCAATCTTCCTCTATATGGGATGCCACCACAGCATGGCTTCACAAGCAGTGTGTCAGTGTGCGCCCGGGATCTGAACCTGCGAACCCCAGGCTGCAGAAGCGAACATGCAAGCTTAACCACTATGCAAAAATGCGGCCCCGCATTTTTGAATTAGATTGCTTTTTAATTATAAGTTCTTTATCAGAAATATGATTTGCAAATATTTTCTCCCTGTCTGTGGCTTGTCATTTCATTTTCTTAGTGGTGTCTTTTGAAATGTAAAAGTTTTAAATTTTGAACACATCCAAGTTATTGTTTCTTTTATAGATTGTCTTTTTGGTATCATGTTTAAGAAGT